AACAATTCCTGGCTATGGCCACCTCCTTCGGCTTTTCTGATTGGGCTACGGAGCTTCTCGACTCAATCGAAGAATCTGGCGAAGAGATGCAACTTTTCTTGTTGAGAGCAGCCTGTGCGCCATTCAGCATAGACTTTGCGTACGGCGATTGCTTCGACTTTTATGAAGAAACACACCTGCCGAGACGACTTGAAAAACATCAGTCCCACGGTGCAGAAATGGGAGCTCGACGGGACTTGAAACGGGAAACATTCATACGGGAGATCCTCTCACGCTGTCCCAAAACAATTGTCCAAGCGGAAGCTCTGCTTCTTCAAAAGTCTAGTCCTCGGCAGGAGACCGCATTCGATGGCATCTCGAACGCCTGGCGCTGCTTTTTGGTGCACAACCTTCAAGGAATCGCCGATGATCACTTCTTCCCCATACCAGACAACATGTGGGCTGAGAAAATGCAAACCTTGCAAAGTTTCCTCTCGGCACACGTCTCACCCTATATTCGGCGCCAAAAGTACATCATTTGCGTTCTTTTCCGCATTACCCGAACACTGCAGCGTCGCGCAGTTGTATCTCTACGTAACCCCTGGGAGCTTCCCCAGGCGGAATGTGACATATATCTTGAAGTCAACGACGACTTTCTTCTGAGCGCCTTGCTGGACAACATATCAAAATATGGGGTACAGGAGTTTCCACTTGCCAGTACAGACTTACAACCCTCCGTCAGAGTCGTCATGTTTCGAACACGGACTCATTTCGCCCTTGTCCCCCCGTCGAGCACAACCAATAGCGTGCGAGAGCTTTCAAAAAGGCTTCGACCGTCGGCCACTGTGACAGTGAAGAGCTCTTCAAGGAGATCATGTTTCAGGTACCGTGGCAAGACTTTGCGACTCATAGGAGGCTCGTGGCCCAAGCTGAGTTCCTGCTGGACGGCGTTGAGGATATTGTAGACGGATTGAAAGCTGCTGGCTACGAGCTCAGTGAGGTGGACACTACTTACGAGTGTTTTCATGAGCATATTCTCTGGTAGGATAGTGAAGTCTGCATGGACAGTGGTTATTTCTATTGATATATTTGTGCTTGAGCTATCCCATCAAGGCGGATGAATCTGAACTCGTTGGTCGAGTACCATATGATGTATCCCTATCAGGTGCACCTTCCATTGTCGCCACCGCTCCTGCTGTCTCCATTGTCTCCGTTGTTTCTGTTGCTTGTGTTCTTGTCGTCCGTACGCGAGAAAATAGTCAGAAACTACTGCCCCGAGTAAGAAAAACCTTATTCTTTCCACTTGGAGTCCTGGATTTAAATTTGGAACGACCGCTAGCTTTAAATTGCTCAGTTTTAATGCAAAGTTAGACATGGAGTGACATGTAAGAAATAAGTTCGATACTTCTGCAGGGAATTGTAGCGAATTCGCTTATCAGTTCAGTGTCTTTCCTTTATTACTCCATGGCTTGTTGAAAGTCGGCCGGCTTTCTCTGACTGTATACTTTTGTTTGGTGAAGGAGACCTCGCCTCTGAGCATATTGTATCAATGGTAAGTATTTAGAGGGCAAACTTTAAGAAATTATGAAATTTGAGCTGTACCGCGATGGGCATTGTTGCCCCCCCCCACCAATGGCAAATAAAACTCCTGCTAGTCCTCCGGGTATTGAACTTTCATCCACGACCGCACAGGTAATTCTCTGCGCAGTCACTCATTCAACAGACATTTCAAGGAAAACAAAAAGGTTGATCGCGAGGAAAAGTGAGTGCAACATGATCAATTGGAAGAGACCAGTACCAAGCTAGCCTCCCCTCTGTTCTGACTCTGAGTCAATATTCGAGTCATCCATCACGTTTTGAACAATCTCGGCCAGAGACGCTGCCACACCTTCGCGTTCAAGTTCCCAATTACGTCCAATAGGATGATAGCTGACATGGCCGACGTCGCTCTGCAAAGCCAACCAGGCTGCCAGTAACGCACCTTCCACGAGCCATGCCTGCCGTTCCTCCAAGTCAGGGAAGAGTACACCAAAAGAGCTGAGGTGGCATTCTCCCTTTGTGAATGAGTCGTTGAACTGCTGTATCCAACGTGCAAAGGCCTGGAGCCAAGCAGCAGGGTACCGGTCTTCGAGATCTTCGAGGTCGATGTGAGTGTCGATTTCGGGGCCGTTACCAGGCTAATTTGAATCGTACCACAAGCCTGAAGTCCCCTAGTCCGTGAAGATAGCTTACCCGTATCCCACGCTAGAAGACCGGTGATCTAAGCTAGTTTCTACTGTAGGGATAGACTCTAGGTGAGATTCAGCTAAGCCTATTAGCTAGGCGCCAGGCTAGATATTAGGCGTAGATTCTAGCGCATCTTGTGATTTGGTGGCTGAGGGATTATCTTTAAGATATACGTTAAGCTTTTCGCCTGTTTTCAGCTCAACGATTAAGCTATAGGATATCTCTAAAGTAAAATAAGTAGTGATGTTTGAGGATTGAGGTGACAGGAGGAATGCTCTGATAGAGTTAAGGTCAGTCATTTTCGCGGTTGAAATCGATATTCGTTGTGCGAAAGAGCGAAGGCTTCCTCTGGAATAGGGGAGGGGCATCTGTTGACATTTAAAGTGTCGACGCTGAGTCATACCTTTGCGCATGATGAGGCTTTGTGTATCTCCGTTGCCCATTAAGGTGCGTGCTGATGTACCTAAGGTAGATACTAAGATTTAGGGCTATCTCAAGAGCCGGCGAGCATGGTGGTAGATATCATTGTGGGAGGAATCTGGACGAAGACGAAAAGAACGAAAATCGTAACAATAACAAAGTGACGAAGAAGAAGACGACGACGACGACGAAAAACATGATGCCGATCAAGATATCTTAATGACAGAGAGCAACAAAACAGTTAGAAGGCTTGCCTTGTTGCTTGGAGTTTTCCGTTACGACTCGTTTCACTCGCTTCCGTGCAAGGGTACTACTACCCCCTGAGGGGTCGAGCGATACAGAGGATCATCTACAACATGCCCGATAATGACACCGACTGGACATTCAAGACACTCTGAGACCAAGAAATAAACAAAATCAAATCCAAATTTGAATCGCAGAACAAAAGGAAGCTTCCCATGTCCCTTTTCAAAGCTTTTCAGCTGATAGCTTCTGCTTACTCCTCTTTATTTCACTATCACTTAACTACACTGCACTGCCTGGATCATACCAAAGCCTATCTTGCCGTCATCTCTCCTTGCCTCAGACTTAGCGACGGCCCTGACGCTCTCTCTCCGCGCGCTCACGGGCCTGGCGCTCCTCTTCCCGCTGTCTAGTCTGCTGTTCAGGGCGTGCGAGGTCATCGCTGACTCTCTACAAATCCATCAATCATTCGTTAGTACAATTTCCGTCAAACAGTTGACTAAAGTCTATGTGTAAAAAGGCCGTATACTGCTGTCAATACAGCGATACTGCACTTGGATAATCTTACCTGTTGCCAGTCCCTGGCATCTTGGCGGTCTTGCTCACGCTCCTCGTTTCTCCGGCGCTGATCTCTCTCACGCGCAGGATCCTGTCTACCGAGCATGTTTGCGGCTGGAAGATGTCAGTGTTTGTCTGGAGAGCAACTGACGTGTGAACAGCTGCAAGCTGAAAACTCACAGTGGTTTTGAGTGGTGTGCGATCTTGGTGTTGATAGATATCTTGAGATGCTGAGTTTTGCTCGATTTGTGTTGTACAGATTTGATTTTACGGGCGTCAAGTTGAACCTTTTATATGTCATTTCTTGTTCTTTGGAAACCGAGGGATCATTGAACTTTCGGAGCACAAACTCAATCACTGCTCTTGCTCGCGCACACTATCAGGAAGCAATTCTAGGAGTGGAGCGGTGAAGGAGTTCTTCAATCACAGTAAAATGCAGTGAGCAAGCAGAACACCTCAGACCTGTCATATTAACCATACCAGTGAACAGCCTTGCAATGATTTGAAATCTGTTTATTGCACATTATTTTGAAACTCAGGTTGAACTAAAATATCGCGTAATGCTGTGGTGATTTTGTGCCTGGAGGACTAGCAATATAATATAGTTCAGAGAACGGAGGATCGATAGCAATGTCTGTAAAATATCGGCAATATCCTATCAAGCCTCTCGATTTGCATGTGCGGACACAAACGGGACTGTTACCTTAGCAGTAACAAAGCTCATGAAGCATTCACTAGATACTAACCCATGCTGATTTATCATTCTCCTTCTGAAGTGAATAAGTTGCATTGGCAACGCGTCAATATTGAGACATTGAAGCTTTTCATATTCTTGAATATCACCCTTCGGGCCCTCAAACAAAATTAAAGTATACGCAGCTTGTAAGACATCGTAGAAGAGCTATATGCTGTAAGCTGAACCTGGACGTCTTTTGACTTTTTGGAATTCAACGCAGGGCTGACCGCAGGTAGCGAAAAATGCGACACAGTGAATAGATTGTGTACTGCCCAAGTTATTACCTACCACAGCATGATCGGGTAACACGCACTAGTAGGCGGTCGATAGTGGTTTGCAAACGCCACCTGCATCAACGGAACTTCAAATTCCCATCAGACTGGCTAGTGACAGACTGCGCTACTCAGATTCTTGCCACACATTGACCTGGCTCGCCTGAATACGCAGTTTTCCATTCTTTAGCAAAGGTTGTTGATATTCTTGGGCAGGATTCAAATACATACAATCATCGCACGTGTCTTATCTTAGTCCACCAAGAGGCAGTGTAACATCAGAGGCCTCGAAATCAATGATGAGTATACAGTAATTGCAGACTATTTCAGTGTCTCAAAGTCTAAAGTCAACTAGAACCAAGATGATGTCGTACGTTCATAGAAGAAAGGATAGCGGAGAATCAAAGTACAGCTGGAAGGGGTTTTATCCTGGTGTCAATAGATAGGCCAAAAGTGAAACCATGAAACCGGAACCGAGAGCCTGAAATTGAATTTTTTTAACTGTGCTACTTAATGACTGCGATGTTTCTCACTGCTGCTATTGCTATGGATGTGATCACAGTGGGTTATCTGCGGTTCTGACGCTGGGCGCGCTCCTGGGCTCGCCGACACTCCTCTTGAATGGTGGCATTCCTGGTGTCGACGACTAGCTAAAGAAGTGATTTTAGAATATAGGTAGTCATTTGGGACATGTAATTCATATTTCTCACCTGTGCAAGCTGATCCATATTTCTGTTTTGAGCCTCCTGCCTCTCCTTCTCCTGGCGCTTCTGGAGCTCACGGGATTGATCTTGCTTGCTGAGCATGGTTGCGGCGATAAACTATCAGCTTATGTCTTCGTATTTTGAGTATGAGCAGATGTCTGCTGGATTGGGTGTGTTAACGGTTGTTGATGTGGTTGTAGTGGTTGTTTGGGAAGAGAGTATTGCGTAAGTGTTGTGCGTGGTGGATATTGCTGTGATCTGCTTCTTGATACTACGATGGCATTCTGAAAATAAACTTATATATAGCCTGGCTTGGTATGGAAAATAATTCACTTTCGAGTGGAGGAATCTTTGTCCGTGAATAACTGTCGGCCTGTGAAGTAGCGCTGTGGCGGAAGGTTTTTGATTCGAGGAAAGATGTACCGAAAGAAGACTTGGTTCATTACTTTTTGTTACTTCCATAGCATAATGATCTGTGTCGAAGTGACTGGCTGGTTAAGAGGTTTTCATCGCATGCTGTCGACGATGGAATCACGCTACGCGTGCAGACTCTCGGGCTGAGCAGCACAACACAAACTATTAGAACAAACTTCAATCCACGTTTATGAAGTGACGTGAATTCGATGTAGGCATCTAGCCTTTTCTTTCTTCTCTATTTTGCGTATTGCAAGGGTGAGTGTGTACGACATGAATACATGGACTGGGTGTGATATTGCTCAGAGACATTTGGCCTGCTCATGTAAGTCTGAACTGTACTTTGAGCTGGGGCTTTCTTCTAAAACGCTGCATGTTTAGAAAGAGCTTTGGTAGGTGGGTAGTGTCAGTCGGCTATCCGGGCAGTCCGCAGCGTACTTTACATTCTATAAGAACACTAGTAGTAGACAAAACGATGTGTATGGCGATAATAATAACGACGATGGTGATAATGACGGCGGCGACGATGACGATGGCGACGACAAAAGCGATTACGCAGGCTAGGTAGGATACACGGATTAGACAAGTGTATAGATACTGCCCGGCTATTAGAACTTTTTAGAATTTATGAGTCCTTAGTCCTGAACCATATCTAAAGTCTTAGGACGCCCGCGTAAAGCATTGTACAGAACCACGTGAACATCATGACATAACAGACTAGAAGAGTTTTCTCAAGTATCCGGCCCACTCCCGCGATCTTGCAAACCGGTTCCACGAGCATGGTCAAGACTATGATAAACAAGAGTCTGCAAGCCCCAGCATTTGGTCAGCTATCATAGTCATGCGGCATGCCTACGGCCTCCTCGGACTTTCATATCGGGAACTCACGGTAAACGACTCCGGCCTATGCGCTCAATCATCTTCCCCACCCCAGTGACCCAAGCACTGCCTGGGATGTTGGTAGGTGGAATAGGGTCACCGATACTGACGACATCTACATTCTTTGAGCCCGTGTCGTTCTTTGGTGGAGAAGATTGTGGTGACTGGGAGATTGATTGCCGCCTGAGTTGTGCCATACTGACGATCACAGCGTATCTGTCCTACTGGCTGCAGACTGTGGCGAGGAAATTAAGATTGATGTGTTGGTTGTCATAGGAGAGTGAAGTCAAGCAGGCAAAGGCTTGATCAGAGCGGCCGACTTCACAGAGTAATCAGCTTTGTGAACAAGACACAGATCTGACAGGGAATAGTACAGAGCGGCCGCTCGCAAGGCGGCCGCCTCAACATAAGTCCCAACAAGCGGATACGGGGAGAAGCCGATTCCCGTCTTGGCTTTCCCTAGGCTGCAGCGATCCGCCCCACAGATAGAGACTCAATGAGAGCTAAGAGCACAATCGAATGGTCAGAGCCGGTTCCCGATTCCGACAGAATGCCCCATCACATCACAAAAGCTTTTTTTCCAACCTAAGTTTCATCAAGATTTCTGATTAAGCCGAAAAGGCGAAGGGTTCTACGATGCTGTGGAGATCAGTTTGTGATCTGTCACTTCAAAACAGGCAGCAGAGAGCCGCAGCGCAAAAAGCATCCACTTCATTGATGTACTGATCTGTAAGAACTGGAGGGGAAGACTTTTCTTTAGTGCTTTTCATAAACAATGTTAATTGCCTTTGACGTTGGGTCAAGAAAACCGCCAGGATGCGGTTGAAACGCATTTTCCTCCATGTCAGGTCGTTGCCGAAGAGTCACTTTTCCCACCTCTTCTAGATTCTGTGATCATTATTGCTAGACAGAATACCGAGATACCCTTTTCGAGGTATCAAACGCATTGGAATTCTTGCTAGTAGATCTAGAACAGACAGAATTCGCAGAGCCTACGCACATCTATCCCTTGAAGCTGAGGTGCATCCGGAAGTACGGCCCAACTGTTTATGGAAAGGCCCCTCTGATTTGAGGATCTGCGGATGCTGCGGAATGTGTCCCAGGAATTATCATCATATGGCGGCTCGCCAGGGTTTTGAATGGGGAGTAGTTCGAGAGGTCTCTCGATACGAGGGACTTTGGTACACTATCTCGAAGAAGAAGGTGTTGAGGGTCCTGGACCGCATCCTCGAGCCGCTGAGTGGAGATGTTCGCAAGGAGATATGACTTTCCAACTAGTGGCCAGGTGAAGGTGGCAATGGCTCGATACCTAAGTTTTCACGGGATTTATATATAAAGTGAAAATTTCCTTCCAAGTTTGCAGTTGATTCTACATCAGTTTCAGCCACAGTATCACTCTATTCTCTCAATTCTCAACCCATTCAATCCTCTGGCCACAACAATGAAGTTCCTCCAGACTGCCGCGTACGCCTTGATGGCCAGCCAACTTACTGCGGCTGCGCCTTTGACGGAAACAGATTCGACGAAGAGTATCATTGAATTTCGCACTCCCAACGATGCCTATGCCGTGAAGGCCGCGTTGGAGCAGCGAACCAACGTCTGCAGAAGGATCGGCACAACTCTCCGTACAATTGGCACAAGTCATGCAGTGTAAGTTGTCGTTGCGTTCTATACCAATACCATCAGCATATTCAGATTTGACTGAAAATTGATTCAGCGTCATTTTCATGACCACTGGATCTGACCTGGTTGAGACTGTTTGTCGTCTCGCGGGCGGTACCAACTGCGAGGATTGGGCGAAGGCAATCCGCCTTGGATTTCTCCTGATCTACGGGATCTCCTCCGGAACCAGTGGTGCTGTGCCCGAGACCAACATGAAGATGAAGCGCGAAGAGATTGTTGAATACAGCGACGCCATGCGATCATACTGGGAGAACACTCTTGTCGACACCGGCCTTGCATTTGACTCGGTCAGCGTCCTGCCGTTCGACGAAGAGGCGGCAGCCCTCGAGAAGCGTGACGATGCTGACCCCAAGCTTCTCGCTCGCATCCATTTTAGCGGTCTTGTCGACAGCGAGACGGGAAAGAAGCACGAGATCATTGCTAACCACTTCGAGGGCAACAATACCGTGTTGCACCTCCCCGGGCTGAACCAGGAGGAACTGGCATCTCGCGACCTGGGCAAGCGAGCTGGTGCAGCAGGCTTCAAGATCTCGTACACCACACGCAAGCTGTCTCTACTCACTCGCAGCCATCAGTCGGAGATGTCAGGTTTCATTTCGGCTGCCTGGGCTCTCGCTTCGGCAAACAACCAGTTGGAAGACTACATTGGCTTTGCCAGTACGGACCACAGTGCAAACTTCTACTACCGCATTATCCCTGAGCTCTACTCGTTTGGACTCAACTACGAATCCGTTGATATCTGTGGTGGCATGGCTAGCTTCTTGTAAGCTGTAATTTTTCTGGTGCAGTCACAAAACGGAGCTGCGAAACGGTCTTGCTGGATACAAAAGCTCCAGAAATGAGACAATTAGTTTGGTATTTAAGAGGACAGGATGGTGATGAAGGAATGGTGGCGAAGGTAGTTTGTATATAATCAAATAATCACTACTTTACATCATCAAATCCGCTCTACATGCTTCCCGCTTGTTGCTTAGTGAACCAAAGGGGGTTGCCAATCATTCACAAATTTTACCATGTGGGCGAATACTTCTCGCTGCTCATGTGGGCGGGGAATCGCTATCCAGCGCCCACCCCAAGGCAATCAATCAAGTTTGAGGCTCATAATTGACTTGATTGCTTCGTGATTGCTTCGTGATAGCTTCATAATTGATTGATTGATTGATTGAACTTGGCAAGTTTACTTGCCTTGCGGGGGGCGCTGTCGCTATCCATACTAACGATGACAAGTGCCGACGGCCATTGTGGCAACAATAATAAAATTGAAAATGGCAGCGACGATGACGACGATAGCGATGTCGACCAAAGAGACGAAGGGATGGATACTGAAGATGAAAATGGTAAAAACAATAGAGTTACTCAAGTAGCTAATGAGAGTAGCGTTGGCTTGATGAGAGCCCGACAGCGAACTCTTATTCACTCGTGTCGTGGATGTAGCCTCAACGCGATCTCTCAGTCTTTGATCACGTTGTCATCAAGTAACATATCGAATAATTTGTATGATGTGGTGAAAAAACTCACTTGTTCAACTCAACCAAATTTTCCCAGCCAGCCTACTTTGAACAAAAATGGTAAGATGATGACGGGAGTTTACACAGTTACATGTAGAAACGGAGGTGACAGTTTTCGGAGGTGCATCTAGATGGACATAGCGACAGGAAACACGCAATGTGGCAGTCTACGCAAAATTTTCAGCTGGACAAGGTACATTAGGCTCAATAATTAGTCTATGCAAGGAGTTATTATTAAAATTAGGATCTACAATCTTCAACATCGTGAACAGCCAATCCAACCCTAGGCTCAAGCATAAACATGCTCTTGGATGTAGGCGATCTCAGTTGCCCTGTAGTCATCCCTCTCAATGTAACCAAGCTTGGAGTAGTTGGCGTTGAAGACCAGGTTGAGCGGCTGATCAGGCGTGTATTGGGGCCAGACAAGACCCTTGGTCCAAGGCCAAGGCCAGCCGTTGCACTGATTGGGGTCGGTGTCGTGGATGAAGGCCACCCACATCTTGCTCATCTTGTCGGCCAGCTGAACGTACGACTGCGGCTTGCCCTCAAAGGGGTTGGTCGCATATCCGAGACCATTGACGTTGTTGAAGACGAACGCAACCTCCTGGAAATGAGTGGCGCCGTAGATGGGTCCGAGGCCGTTGACGTACACGTTCCAGCGGTAAGAGTAGACGGGGATGCCGGCGTCAGAATACGAGCTGGCGAGAAGGCGTCTACCGCTGTGCTGTTGATAGTCTCCTGCGACGGCCGCGACACGCTTCCATTGCGAACCGAACGCAGTGCCAGTGGGTCGATCGGGATACGACGCTGGGATACCGACGGCGGGGTCATCAGGGTACAACTCCTTGAGAGCGGCGATCTGTGTGGAGTCGACCAGCAGACTGCTAGCGAGCCACGACTCGAACTGCTCCGTGGTGTTGATGCCCTGTTTGGCGTAGCCCGTGCCCTCGTCAAAGTTGTTGCCGAGAAGGAGCGGAACGGGAGCGAATTTACCCTCGGCAAGAAGCGTCGTGGCCTTGTCGCTGATGAAGTCGCCGTCAATGACAGCGCTGATCGTAGGTGCGGTGACGCTCAAAGGGTTGGTGCCGTTGAAGATAGCGTTGAGGGTCTGCCATGGGAGCGCGCGCACGCAGGCCAGACGGTCGCTAGCATCCGCGCATCCAGTCTTGGCCAAGAGTGCCTCGAAGTACGGCTGCCAGGCATCAGCGCCGACGAACTTGGCGACAGAGCTACCACTCTCGAGGATGGCGCTGCGGAACAGGTTGTCGTGTTGTCCATCATAGGCAATGAGCTGCATACCCAATGACCGTGCGCCAGCCGACTCGCCCCAGATGGTGACCTTGTCAGGGCTGCCGCCGAAGGGGGAGATGTTCTCTTGAAGCCATCGCAAAGCTAAGCGCTGGTCCCTGAAGCCGATGTTGCCCGCGCCGACGTCCTGAAGTTCCTGGCTGAAGAGGAAGCCCCAGTAGGAGAGACGGTAGTTGATGCTGGCGGCGATGATGGGCTTGTTCTCCTTGACGGACTGCTCGACGATGTAGCTAAGGTTGTATCTCGGGTCGCGAGAGCCGCCGTTGACGTAACTCTGCCGAGGTGAGAGTCAGTGATGGCCGTCGTCTCAAGTTGGGAAGAAGTTTACTTACGCCGCCGTGAACCCAGATACCTACGGGGAGGTCATCTCCAGGCTTCGTGCCGGCCGGACGGACGATGTTGATCGTCAGGCAGTCCTCTGAGACTGGGTTGCCCAGGTTGGCAGTATCTGAACCATACCCAATGCACATCCATCCATATTCGGTAGCGTTCCTCGTCTCCTCAAACGAAGAGTTCAGCGGCTGAGGTGCTGCATAGCGAAGGGAGCCAATGGGGGGCTGCGCATATGGGATGCCCAGAAGAAGTCCTGAGCGTACTCCTCGTTCCGGACGCCAACATACGTTCCATTGGACAGACGCACGGAAGGAGGCGAAACGTCATGGTGACCCGGGAAGCACTCGGACAGGTCAAAGCCCGACAGGAGCACCAGAAGAAGGTTAATTGCGTTTGGACGCATTCTGGGCAGTTTCAACGTCGTCGAAGGGCTCGAAGGAAGGCTTCTAGAAGTCAAAAAGATGAGGAGGGTGGCAGGTGGCTGAAAACGGCGCGTCTCATGTCAATCGCAGAAGAACTGATTTTGAACCTGCAGAGCTGCACGTTGTCGAGCTAGCCGGGAGGCAAGGAGTCGGCAGCCAGTCGTGGCATTTTGTCAACTAATTGCCTCATCGCCATCCAACGGTCGACGACTGCTCCCGACATTGCCTAGAGACTAACGGTTGCGACGGCGTCGCTACTAGGTGCTAATTGGGATAGTAATCACCGATCGGTCGTGGGACTATCGATGAACCCTAGATCGAATATACTCCCATGACACCATCTAGCCCCTTCCTCTGCCCCTCGGGGTGTCCTTTGGGGTCCGGGGATCGTGGAGGACCACGAGCCTTTGCAGGCCGTGTGCATGATTTTCCCTACCCAGATTGCGAAGAGCTCGCATGGCCCCCATGAGGGTTCGTCGTTGCTGCCAGCTTGCATTCGTGGCCCTTAATCTCATCTCGTAATTGCATGCTGTTGGTGTCTAGCGTCATTCCAACTTCTTGCGGACCATCGGCCAAGCGTTGCTGGTTTCGGCTTAGCAAAGCAAAATGGTGAGACTACGCTACCGTCTAGCCACCTTCGCCCGTTGGTCAACGGCTAATGACTTCCAACTTGATGACCTCGGTTAACCGAGTCTAGAAGCCCCGGTTCATGTATAACCGGGGGAATCCCACAGTCGCACGAATGGGATCTCGCCCCGTTTGATCCACATCATTTGAGTTCGACGCTAGAAGGTTTACCCCAGCTAGTTTGTAAGGCTGGGATCTCTTGGCCTGGCGTGATCTTTGGAGAGGAAAAGGGCGGAGTCTTCAGCTGGGTTGCGTTGGCGTGGAAATTGTTGCCTGATGCAGGTGGGAATCTCGTGTTGCAGAACAAAGGAATAAGGAAATATCGCATGCAGACTGCTGGAGAACATTGTTGGTTGCAAGAAATTTTCCGGGTGAACGGGAAGACATCTCGATGGCTGATGAGAAAGAGAGAAGAAAAAAGCAAGAATTACTCGTTGGTAAGATCAACCGAGTAGCGAGCCGAAGCCGACGCGTTTGCCGAATCTCCGTCTCCGTACAATCCGGCTTTTGCAACGCCACATTACTTGATTTGGTGGCCCAACATGCCGGTAGTCTAGTGAAGTGGTGTGAAGAAGCCATGGAAGGATGCAAATGCATGTTGGGAGTTTCGTGTGCGACTGCCAATCTCCCATCTGCCCACCGTCACCCTTGAGGTTGCACCCCCCCTACAGCCTGCAGGGCGACGTTCAAGCAGATAGCCAGTCGGCCGACAAACCGGGGCAGGAAAGCGGGAGACTGAACGCCCATCCGAACTCCGTATCTCTAACTGGGACGACTCGGCTCGCCCTAGCGCACACACATGATTGTAACTTTCGCCCTGGTTTCGAGGGGGGCACATAGCGCGAAAAGAGTCGGGGACGTCTTTCCCAAAAACCACTAAACCAGCTGTTCTCCTCGGGGAGGGAACCTTTGTTGCGCCTGGGATATACCCTTGCAAGGAGCGCTGATCAGAAAAACTCACGAATATGCTGGTTTCCATATTATGAGGGTGCGGTGCACCTCTGCTGTTGGGGGCTGTTGGTTGAACTCTTGCGAGATCTGACGAATTTCAACCCAAGCTTTTGTCCACAGAAAACTGTGGCCCTGGGGCTTGTGCCGCAAAGCCGACGATGGTCGACGATAGAGGCGGCCGGCTGCTTGCCGCAACTTGGTCGTTGGTAGGCGCAAGCGCCATACTATTATTCCTCAGAATATACTGCAAGATTTGGCGCGGTAGAGGACTTTGGTGGGACGATCACTTGCTCATTGGCTCTTGGGTATGTGTGCCATCCTATTCTCGCCTCTCTCATCACGAAGGAACCGACCTAATTGTGCTGTGTTGCAAAGGCTGCGTTGGCGATATCCGTTTCCATCAACTCTTACATCGTGTCACTGGGATTTGGTCGCCATATATGGACCATCAGCGACGAAAACCGAAAAGAGATCAACCTCTTCACGATCCTGGTCGCCACCTTCGGAATCATCGCGACGACAACGAGCAAATCGTCCTTCGCCCTCACGCTATACCGAATCGTAACGAACAACTGGACAAAGTACTTTCTGATTTTCGTCATCGTGTCGATCAATATCTCGATGAACCTAATCTGGATATTTGGGTTCGCCAAATGCACACCCCTGGAGAAGGTCTGGGATGGTAGTGTCCCCGGAACATGCTGGGATAAGACCAAGTTGGTTCGATACCAGCTCTTTGCAGCATGTAAGTTGATGATTGTAGTTATCAAACTACTTCATTCGTGTCACGACGAAGCTGACAGAAACTTGTCCAGATTATTCAGCCGTGCTGGACTTTGTGCTGGCTTTTCTGCCTTGGCCGATCCTGATGAGAGCAACGATGAGACGTCGCGAAAGACTCGGTGTTGCCATCGCCATGAGCTTGGGTGCTATGTAAGATCTCTGATCCGGATCTAGCGGATAGAAAAACTAACGGGTTTCAGTGCCGGAGCTTGCGGAATAGTAAAAGCTGTTCTGGTCGTGTCAATGACTAGCACGGATATCACATACGATCGTGTCGACCTCACTATCTGGACATTGACAGAACCAGCCGCTTCCATCATGGCTGTCTCAATCCCTGTCCTGTGAGTATACAACGCACCGTTCGACTGCATCATTTACTAATGTCTACGTAGGAGAATGTTGTACCGCGAGCTGAAGTCCGCCTCGAGAAGCTACGGACGGAGTAGGTCACAGACGAACGCACTCGAAACGGCAAAGACGGCCAGGACGAAGCGATATGGACAGGGAACACATTACGGACGGAACTCGGTCGTTGTCATGTCGACGACAGGATGGCAAGAATCACAAGAAGCCTTGCAAGATGTGGAAAGCGGTCAGACTACGCCCCGAGGCATTATGAAAACAGAAGAAGTCAGGGTACGGCACGAGAGGATGCCACCTGCAGGCGACAGCAAGAGCTCCATAGAGCTTGATACATTTCGGTAGACCGGACTTTTGGAACCATTGGGAGCATGGGAAGCGCGAATGATACCTGGGCAGTGTGCACCTACTTTTTGTTTTAGGAATGAGACAATGAAGACTTCAATTTGTTTTCAAACGGAGTAATCCATAAGGGATGTGTCATCTACAAATGAGCGAGACGTTATCTGATTTGATGGCTGCCTTCTGACAATTGATCAAAGTATCTCCCAGAATACGTCCCGGATTCAATTTTAGGCGTTGATGCCCTCGCATAAAACTATGATTCCGTTGTGATTACGGTGTTCCTGCGGAAAGGTGCTGTTGGTTGGGCGGTCTGGAACGCCGACATCAATAAGCTTTGTTGGTAATCAATCAGACATTGTCTCACATGCAAAGAAGAGAAACAAGGGAATCAGTTACACTCGTTCTCGTGAACATTTCAATGCGACCCTACGGCTACGATTAGAAACAAAACGCAAGTGGCACCCTGCCGAGCGCCCGAGAATACGCCGAGTCGGCACGGGGTGGGGCGCGGCCCAGGCTCATAAGATTTCCGGCGGGCCGGACCGGGAGCCAGGGCCGGGCACCGGAGAATTCACAGGCACGTCATCAGCTTGCTCGAGTCAAGCGACAGCGACAATAACCGCGGTCTCAAACACTGAAGTGGAATATGCAACATGATGAAGCAAATGTCAAGCCTCTGTTATCGCAAGTCTAATATTCGCATTCTATCCATAAAATAATTCCGCGCTCCTTGACGGCGTGCTGTCGCGTCTCCCTGAATTATATCTCAAGTCTATAACCAATTACCCATATAATCAACAATGCTAAACTTTTGGTGTCCATCTATCCTTCGTATCAAGTCATTTCAGTCATGATTTAGTGCGCCATCACAGGAGCGTTGACGACTCTGCCAACGTCCTTAACCCCGAAGATACTCGCAACAACACCAACACCGGCAAAACCAACGCAGCACCATAGACCGGTTCCGTATTGTTGCAAGATACCGTGTCCGTTCTTTGTATCGACCGCCTGCACAACTGCGCTTGCAACCGCAAGCCCAAACCCGCTGCCGATTTGAAATGCGGTGTTGATCATACCGCCGCAGAGACTCTTGACGTTCACTGGAACCGAGGCCAGGAGTACGACGGTGATAGTGCAGTACACGATTGTCGTTCCAGCGACACCGATGACAGTTGTAGGGAAGATATGCTTCCAGAAGTTGAGGTCATCGTCCCTCATAAGCGCGGCAGGCACTGGCGCGATAGCGCAAATGGCCATGCCTACGGCGAGAAGCCACTTGGGGTTGAAGATCTCCAGCATGCGAGACATGGAAAGGCTGAAGATGAAGCCCGTGGCACCCATAGGAAGGAAACGAAGTGCAGTCTGGCCGGCGCTGAGCTTGTTCACTTCCTGCGCAATAAGAGTCGTGTAGTAGATGGTCGTCTGGTATCCGCCGTACATGACTGCCCCGGGGTTAGCACATATCTTTGAATCGAGAATTCGAATGCTGAAGATGCAGGACTTACCGAATCCGCCGATCCATAGAGCAGCGAAGTTCTCAAGCTTCCACAGCGAAAGTGGCATGATGGGGTTGGCAACCTTCTTCTCAACGTAGGTGAAGGCAACAATCATGGCGATGCTAACAATGAGCAGAGCAATGATGAAAGCTTTGCCCCAACCGTATTCTCCACCGCTGGAAAGCACAAAGCTGAGCAAGATGAGTCCTGCAGTTGAGAGACCGGCACCGACAAAGTCTAGCTTCGGGCGCGAAGTGCCCTCCATGCGGTCCTTGGGGAGAAAGAACCACCCAATCGTACCGAGGGTGCC